ACCCTAATGAGACAACATATCCAAAGCTGAAGAAGAGCCAAAAGGCATGCAACAGCACTTTTTCATGTTTTACTTGAAAGATTTGCCACTCCAGTCTAGTCATGTTACATAGCCGCAGGGAATATGAATGAATGACAACTCTGGAGAGACCTATGGGAGAGACGTCTCGCACAGCTGTTTGTGTTACTCTAAACTTGTGCACATATTTATTGATAATAATAAAATAAAAATTAAATTAGGTTTTTAAAAAAATGTGTCCAACTTGTACAACCTATAAATTCATATATAATTTTAATAATTGTTATTACACAACATTCTGTTAAAAAGTGTTTGAAATTTCCTATTGAAAAAAGTCTGAGACGGGACAGTTTGAAGGGCTTGTCCCTGAATTGCCAGCATTTAGCATCTCTCAGCAATGAACCATGATTTGCCGCTAGCTAGTCGGTTGCAGATGGTATCAGGGAAAGCATTTGATTGGACAAAAGTCTGTGTAGTGCAGGATGAGTCATTAATCACCATTCTAAATTAATGCGCTGTCTTAACAAAGCAGAAACACAGAATGATCACGCAGCGCACACAGAAATATTCAGGACTCGTTGTCAACACTGCCCTGTGACTAGGATTAATAAAATAGGTTTGCTACTGAAAAACTGCATTCGATTTCTCAGCAATGAGATGGAAGCATTGATGTTTTTGAAGTAATTATACTAAAAGTTTCACTATTAAAGTAGTAGTTCACTTTTGAAAAAAAAATTGCTGATAATTTACTCACCCCCATGTCATCCAAGATGTCCATGTCATTCTATCTTCAGTCGAAAAGAAATTAAAGTTTTTGATGAAAACATTCCAGCATTTTTCTCCATATAATGGACTTCAATGGGAACCAAACGGTTCAAGGTCCAAAAGACAGTTTCAGAGCAAACAAACTGTTCAAAGGGCTTAAACGATCCCAGACAATGAATAAGGGTCTTATCAAGCGAAACGATCACTCATTTAAAAAAAAATAAAAAGTTTATCCTGCACATAGTTCGGTAGAATTAAATGTCTTTATATCCTTTATATCAGCGGGACTCGCATGTGATATCTGTCTCTTTAGCAATCGCGGCCTGCTTCATACACTGTAATGTTAAAACTCATCCATAAACATTATTAGATCCATCAGCTTGACAGCAAGACCCATCATTCAGCTCATCACTGCATCATAAACCTACGCCTTTGTTAATGTTTCTTGAACCGAAGGAAGACCCATCATTAGTTCTGCCGGTCTGAAGCTCCGATGACAGTAAGACCGTTAGAGTCACTTTGGTATCACAGAAGTCACCATGCAGATTCCCGATGTCCCGTCCATCAAATGTCAGTTTAGAAAGTATTAATCAATGTCTGCGTAGTTGACCCATCAATTAGAGCGAGGGGGCCAAGGAAAGGAGCTTTTTTCCCCTCCTCTCTTGCTTTTTTAACAAGGGGCCAGAGCTTCTCTCTGGCAATTCTGTCCTCCAGAGACAAAGCAGTAAGCCACAGTTTTTTATCTGTGGGGACCATCCTGTTTTTTAGGACTGACACAAAGGGCAATGTTGATCCCCTCCTCCAGGTATTCCTGTAGCCCAGGAGCAACTTTTCCAACCAATCACCACCCTTCTCACATCCTCGTTGGCCTCCTCTTTCAGCCCGTGCAGCTTTAGCACCCATCTCCAGCAATAACGTTTGCAGTCGGCGACTATCCTATTGAGTTTTTTTTTTTGTTTTTTTTTAGGGAACCAGTGTGATGCTAACTGTCGGTTAGCCTACAAAGTAAAACCATTATAGGTAAATAGAGTAACTAGAAGCACAACAATGTGCAGTAAATTGTAAAATTATTTGTGCTACAAAACAGTATTTATTATTATTGCGATATAGTAAATTAAAATAATGTGATAAATACCAGTTTGTGGTATCAAGCAGTATCAGACTGTTTTGTACAGACCAGAAGCCTTCCACATTCAAGTTAAAAAAGGCTGCATCCGCCCTTACATTAAAATACATTAAAAAAGATGGCTTCAAAGTAAATACACATGGACTATAAGCCAAAAAACTAATTGGGGGTCTTTAGGACAGAGTGAGTGGACTTTATGTGCTCACAAAGGGCCTTTCAGCTCACATAAACACAACAGGACAGAGTATAAAAAGGTTTAATAAAACAAAGACATGAACCCAACTGGTAGAGCATGATGCAAGCTCATGGGTTCGATTCCCAAACAAAGCCACAGAAAGTTGTTTTGTACAAAAGTGTGAACTGAATGCATAAATTTGATGATACATTTCCTTATCTGTCAAATGTGTCTATACACATCTTTACTTATACCAATATAAAACTTTCCATAGAATCACCGTCAGAGGTCAGGAAGTGGTTTGGTATTGAGTCAGAGAAAGAATCAGCAGCTGTTTACAGCTGTATTTGACACACACACACACACACACGCATGCACAATTAAACGACATGCTGTATCTGTATCCTGAGGCAGACTAATATAAACCCACTGGAGACTCTGTTAGTCTGTGAAAACTATCCTAAGGCACAGACTGCTAGACTAGAACCACAAGAGAGAAAAAAACAGCCTGGACGGGAACTGGTAGAATTCAGGTTACTATACAAGAAACAAAACTGTACTGTACATTAATCACTACATCTTCCCCATCATTCAAAGCAGTGATTATTGAACATCCACCAAATGTCTGTATACAACTGCTTTTTTCTCTCTTGCAAACCGGCCATTGATCTTTGGCCTACACAGATGCTGCAAAAATGCAGGTCCAGATGTGCACTAGTAATGATGTCACTGCATTAGCAATCAGACATTGGACCACATGTACAGACCAGTCAGCAAGCTATCAGAAAAAAATACCAAACTCCCATTTGCAGAGGCCATGCAACACTCAGCTATAATGGTATTTAGCCCTCAGATGACCTCTTGAAATGAATTCTTGAAATAATGTGTAAATGAACAAGCTATGCTATTAGGGTGCAACATGCTTTTTCACCTTAAATGGCATCAACCTCTACTTCTGAAAAAAAAATGTTTAAAACTGCCAGTAAAATCAGGATTTACTTAAGAATGGAAGGAAATATTATTTTTCAAGGGTGGGATGCAATAAAGAAAAGTATTTTGTTTCTGCTCTGATTAGGAAGCAGAACATCCTGCATTGAACCTCCTGCTTGTGTGATACAAATTCCCAAATGAGCCAAATGCAGATGAACAGGTCAAGTTAGGCTCCATCGCCCATTTTACCAGATGGTCCTCGACTAACATCCCTCAAAGCGCGTGGTCACACCCATTAAACTCTACACTGGCTATTGATCAAAGATACTGAGCTTTGTCCACATGCTTATCTTTGTTTTTCCAAATGATCGTATTTCTAGCCAAGGAGTCCAAGGACTGTGTTTGGCCAAACCCAACCTGTTCCAGTCAATTCTTTCTTATTTTCTTTACCTGGTATTGTTTTGAGACAGTCTGGACAATGAGATGTGAGATGCAGCATGCAACTATGGTGGCTTTTTATGTTTTGTCCTGATTTCCAATCTCATCTCGGAGCCAGGGTCAGTAATGCTAACAATGAGCAGGATGACGGTTCTTGCCCGCTCTATTGTCAGTAAATCCCAGAGGAAATCTTAACTGGAAAAGAAAAACACTTTCACATGGTCCCAAAATCCTTTATATAAATACCCTGTTTAAACAAACATCCCTGAACTTACCAAACACCTGAGAACAACAGTTGCTAAAGAAAAAATGAGGGTCAACTAAGGTAAAAATAACATTACAATCTTAGATATTATGGTGTTGTCATTGACAAGCATTCATCCTCATTTAAACCACAAAAACATAATCCAGCTTCTTTATCTAAGTGGTTTAGAGTCATCCCACTGAAAAGTATCAATTTAATTGGGTTTGTTCTTCCTACTTTATCTTTTAACCTCTCTCTCTCGGCCCCTCCCCCCTTAGCATAATCAGAGACTGGGGCTCGAGACGCCAGCTGATCCCTGCAGGCTCGCGCTATTCAACACGAGCGCAACACATTCATCAGGATGCCTCGTGCTTCTTTGTGCTCAGCCTCAGCTCCAAAACAAGAAAAGGGTTGATGGCAGCTCCAAAAAAATACTCATATTAATGCAGGATAACAACTTCAAAAACTGTTTTATGTTATTTTTACCATTTGTAAACAAATAAACAATGGAAAGCAAGCCTATCACACTTAAAATTTGCCAGGGAGAATTGGATTTCTCCATGTATGTTGAATGACTGTACAAAGCAGAGCTTGTCCTTATTAAACCCCAAATGCTATACTGAAATTGACAAATTAAGAAACATTTCATGGATAGCCTAGACTCTTTCCCAAAGCATAAATCGAGACAACTGTCTAATAATTTTAAAACGGATATCTTACCTTCTCCGTTATTTTCCGTCATAACTTTATAGGAAGAAGATGGACCTGCCCTGTCTCCGCGTGCACTTGATAACGGCCACCTCTGTTGTTCCTCTGGCCTGTCTTCAGATTCATATCTTGGCTCCGGGGACCGCTCACGCTGTCAAATCCTCCAGAGATTGACAACCGTGTGAGCCAATCCGGCAACGCGCTGCACACAATTCTAACCAATAGCAAAACTGGTAGGCGTTACCATTTACACATTGGGAAGATGAAGTGTTGCAAGACATTTTAGTTTCCACTATACAGTATATTTAATGTCTATAGGCCTGTATTTACTTAGTTTTTCTATCTATCTATCTATCTATCTATCTATCTATCTATCTATCTATCTATCTATCTATCTATCTATCTATCTATCTATCTATCTATCTATCTATCTATCTATCTGTCTATCTGTCTATCTATCTATCTATCTGAGGGTAGACTATTTGTTTCAGCAACTTTCTTTACATTATAGCACTTGAAATGAAGTATGGTTTTATTTAGATGAATCTATCTATCTGGTTCAGCTACTTAGTTTCTTTACAGACACAAAAACACTGTTGAAGTATAGCTGTTTTTATTGAGATGAATATCAATATTTCTTGCAAAGCAACTCAAAGAAACAGTGAATAAAATGAGTGCATTTACATTTCCCAAACTTTGCACAGTCAGAATAACATCACAATCACAGTTATATGCAGTAGTTAGTTTGCATATTAGCACAAAACCATGCGCACCAATGGGAAACCATATATGTTGTGTGACCTCATCATAACACAAAGACAACTACATAAGGTCTCTCAAACTTTCTAGGTATAAAATGTGAATGTGTAATAGTAGCAAAAGTAGTCCAGCAGCTTTTAAAACTGTTGGGTCAGAGTTCTCTTGGGTCACAATCCTACATCTGCCTTCATCCAGACTTCTCACACACACAAAGAAAAATACATTTTGAAATAATTTCCACAAAAAAAAAAAAAAAAAAAAAAAAAAAATTGAACCAATTCAGATGTTTAATGTTTAGTATTGATTTGGGTGTGGTTTTTAAGGGTTAAGGGTTACAGTGCTGTTAAAGTATGAAGATGATAGAAAACACACTGATCTGAACTCACCTAGCCTGAACTATTGGACTGCTGTACTGGAGGCTAACACCACTCACACCCACACGCGTGCCTGTTTCTACAGCTGTTTAAATAAGACTAACGCATTTGTCCTCCGCAGCTCAACATGGTTCTTCTGGGAAGGCTCCCACCTACGCATTCAGACCAAAACACATTCATGTATTTGAGACAAGCTTTACTGTATTTTCCCAAGCACAACAGATTTTGGCATGACCGGCAAAGGCTAAAATTTACTGCATTCAAAATGTTGCATTATGACCCTGAATATCGAGTTTTGAATATGCACACACTTACAGTCAGTTAGAAACCATCATACTTTCACAATCAACATAAAGTAAAACAAACTGAGTTACCCTGCTGAGCAGTTAAAAAAAAATCCAAAGATGCATTGATTTCATACAAGATATAGGCACATTTCACATGGTTATCATTAGTCAAAACTTATTTTACTGAATGTTGTTTCAGTTTCTGATATCTTTAAGTAATATATCCAAACACTTTGCATGTTTCTTTGCAAATATGAGTAACTGGCATCAGTAAAAGAACCAATTTCAATTTCATCAGAGTAAAATATCTAGAGCAAACGTGGTGCAACTTAAGAATGTGTCAGAAGAAGCAAAACAATCTCTCAGTAACTGTCAGATCTCAAATCAAACATGTCATGATTACACTCTAAAGTTGAATATGAAGCCATTACGTAATGCTTCCAGTATATGCAGTGCATGCCTGCAGGGTGACATGACCAGTGTAATGGACATGTGTATCAATATACAGCACACACATGTATTAACAATCAAACAAAACAAAAAAAATACTATGTGTTTTAAATGAAATGAAGCGCCCACTGAACTCCATGCTTTATAAGTGTTGTATTGTATTAGTTTCACTAATTGCTACAGAAACTGTTAACTTTGGCATGGCTCCATGCTAAAGTAAATGTTGCAATTATTTGCAAATGGCAAATAAAGGATCTGGCAAACATCTGTATGACAAAAAAAAATGCATACAAAAATAAGTGTTTACTCTGCAATGAGCACTTTCATTTTCAAACAACGAGAAAGACCAATGCAATGTCTGGCTGATGCATTTGATAAGATTTATGATGATACGTAATGTGCACGATATATATGGAGAGTATGCAAAGTCCCGATATCAGTTTAAATGTCTAAATGTCTTATTGAATAACAGGGTTGTCATAATAATGACATCTGATGAATTGCACATTGACCTAAAAAAGCCAACAGATACATAATATGACACAAAAGCTATGCATTGTTCCAGCTGTCCGCACTCACAGTCATTAAGCAACAGTAAAGATTAATAAACATAACACTGTGTCCTCCTAACCAGGCGCAATACAAATTCTCAATCTGATGTGTGATGAGATGCAACTAGAGCCAATGAGAAGCTATTTAATGTACAGTTCAGAGGAACAAATGAGATTTCACAGTGGGCGGGGCTACCGAGCATGATACTGCGTAAATGGAAACCAATCGACGATAAAGTGTCCTGTTGCCCTTCACTTGTCACGGTCGAGGGTGGAAAGGACAAAAAGGACCTGGAAGAGGGTTTTTTCTTGTCGCTTTATTGCGTCATGTCTGGTTAGGTCACGTTGACTTCTTGCTCTGAATGAGTCTTTGGCCTGGTCATGCTAAAGCCATGGATGAATGAGCTTCCATAAAGCTGATATCACATGATATATACTGTATTACAGTCCAAGCCATGGCTGAGCATCATGTCTAAGAGGTAAGAAGAGGAACAGGCAGGAAGAGACTGAGAAAAGATAGAGAGAAAGACATTGAGCAAAGAACACGACTAGACATGGACGAGATTTAGACGTTGGACAACATTCATTGCAGTCAAAAACAAGGGCACAACAAGGGAAGATGGGTAGTATTACATATCATAAAGACTTAGATGTAGAGCTGGTTGGCCATGTTTATCAACGGTATAAAATGTAAAGAAAGTGGCTTATATCAATATTGTGTGCCTTTTCCACAAAGAGAGAATACATACAACACAGTAATCACAAAGACTGCCGAGGGAGCGAAGTCAAAGACAATCAAAGAGAAAAACAAAGAGTGTTGGAGAATTCAGTTCTGACTCCAGGCTCTCCGTCATCAGAGTAACATTCAGGCCATGTGGTGTGGCGTTCACGCACAAAGATAGGTGGCAAACAGCGTTGTGAAAGCGCTCCCTCTTCCTCAGCGTGAGATGGGATGATAGTAGCTATGCAGCAGAATGATGAAGTTGCATATATGTTTCTCTCACACTCATCCCTCCATGCACACAGGACAGATGAGAAGAGGTTTTCTCTTTATCTTTGCTTTCCATTAAGCGATTAGGCGTGATTTAAAACAAGCGTGCTTTCTTCTTGAGATCATTTTTCTTCCACAAAGCCAAACGGTCAAACTGTTCAATGGTCATCCCAAACACGTTGTAGAAGTCCTCTGGTGACAGGTGCCTCTGAAATGATAAAAATTACAATAAATGCAATTACTTAATATTATTTTTTTAAAACGATGCAAATTAATTTAGTTAACTGAACAATTTAAAGCAGAGATGTCCAAACTAGGGCCCGTGGGCCAAAGTTGGCCTGTGGTATCCTTTGATTTGGCCCACCATACTGTCCGGGGAGAGGGGATTTCTTTAAAATGCAAAACTTTAAAAATAAAACTGCATTAGTTTATCAGATAAATATTATAAAATAAATAAACCCATAGCAATTTTAATTTAATACCGTTTGATTTATGATGAATTTTGATTTATGCAGAACGGGGGTCAACATTGGTCAACAATGTTTTCTCGCTGGCGTGAGCTGAAGAAGAAAGGAGGTGCTGTCTGTCAGTGCTACGTGTCTTGAGTTTGGGCCGAATGACTCTAGTCATATGGAGGGATTATTGGGTCAGATTGAAAACTAAAAGTCTAAAACTAAAAGTCTTAAACGAAAACTAAAAGTATAAGTCGAAAACTCAAAGTCGAAGTCAAAAATTAATTTAGCATTTAGGATTGGGCATTTGGTATTTAGGATTGGGCATTTGGTTTTTTGACTTCGACTTTGAGTTTTCGACTTCTACTTTTAGTTTTCGTTTAAGACTTTTAGTAGCCTTTTAGTTTGCAATCTGACCCAAAAATCCCTCCATATGGAACTTCCCACCCTGCAGGCTAAACTAATCGTGAAGCTAATCAAGTAATTTTTTTAAATAAGTAATTTTTGTGGGGAAAAATGACTTTAAAGCATGCAGAATAGCTCTATGATTTAGTCATCCATCAATGAAGGCCTAAAATAACACTGTCAAAAAGATAATCAACCTTAATCAGAACAAACCCAAATGACCTTCCCGCCAGGAATCTAAGCACTGTTTATTCTGCTAACAATATCTACATGACGTAAACTTCATTATAGATTAAAGACAGAGTGAAAAATACAATATTGACAATAATTACAAACATCTATATCCATGTGTCACCATAAAGCTTTTCACTTGTTAAGGACATTCATTGGCTTTAGCACAATCAGGATTATTTACGAGCACGAATGGGCTATAAAAGTTGCCAGGTTTTTAAGCCTATGACCTCAATTTGGGTTTAAACCATTCCAGAAAGGATTTGTATACATTTTTATTCTTTTAGACCCCGTTGTATGTGGTACTGTAACACTTGCAGATGTGTGGGTATCTTGCATGCCTCCAAATAGATGCTGAAATCACCGTCTTTGGAAAGTTTTGGGTGTTGCAAGTGTCTCCCGCTGGGAGACTGACTCCAATCATGCTCAGTTCAAACAGATGTGACAATGGCCTCTCATTTCAGGACAGCATTCATATGATGAAACATACACACACACGCATACACACACACATTTTGAGATATTGCAATTTTAACCACAGTGATTCCAAGCTAACAGTTATATGGGGTGGGGGGGGTCAATAAATCACCATCTCTCGTTACTCATGCTGAAGTTAAAGTGAGCCAGACATTTTGCCTCCCTTTTCCATTTAAACCCACTAATAACACTGACACAATGTCCAGGAACACTGAGGATATATTATGTGTTGGCCGTGGGGATAAACAGCAGTTTGTCTGGCTGTCTATATTTTATGATCAAGATGATCCAACAAAATGATTATTAAACTGCCCACGCAGCCCACGCTCCATAATAAACAAAATAACATAATTGTATTTAAGTGTAAATCATTATAAAATCATCGCTTGATGATGACTCTGCACTTTGGAATATCCCAATACCTATATTTAAAATATAATCACACTAAAAACTAAACTCAGTATTATGATCTACAGCATTAAGGCTGAGTATTATTCTGCAAACAGGCCACATAGAGAGGAGTACATGAAAGAAAGAAAAGTGGTCTTCTTGAAATTCTAATAAAATATTACCTCCAGTCTGGTGCGGTCCACATCACGTGGTAGTTTTACTCGGACTCTGTGGGTCACAGCTAGCATGTCATAGGGATAGACCTGCAATACACATGAATGTGAAAAGAACACAATTACACAGATGCACACATACACTACAACTCAAAAGTTTGGGGTCAGTAAGTAAAGAAATGAATACTTGGGAATATTCAGGAAAGATACATTAAATTGATCAAAAGTGACAATAAAGAAAGTAAACATTCATAATGTTTTCAAGATTTAAATTTCAATTCAAATTTCTATTCATCAAAGAATCCTGAAAAAAAGTTTCAAAGAAGAAAAATATTAAGCAGCACAACTATTTTCAACATTGATAATAAAAAGAAATGTTTCTTGATTATTAAATGAGCATATTAAAATGACTTCTGAAGGATCAAGTGACACTGAAGACTGAAGTATTAACTGCTGAAAATTTAGCTCTGCCTTTACTAGAATATATTGCATTTTAAAATATCTTAAAATAGTAATAAGTTGTTTTAAAGGTGCAATTGCGCAAGTCTCTGAGTTTTTGCAGAACTATGCCCCCTCTGGCAACAAGCGAAACTGCAACCAGAGGTGAGCACGCTCATGGACCAGTTCGGTTTTTGTTTCCATCTATCTCCATGTTGAACTGTTTTATGTGCTTACTGTATCCATAATAATTCAATCATAAGTGGAAACACGTTCATGAATAATATAAGTTATGAATTTGTATAGGATCCCGTTTGAGCCTTAGAGCAGACCGGAGATCTCTCCATTTGTTGAAAGCCTTCCCGATGTTGACTCTCGTCTTATTCCGACGCCTGACACTAGACAAATGTTTTTATTTTCTTTGTGGAGTTTGCGTTGGGGTTTGGAACGAACTACAAGCCGGTCTCTTTGAATCCATTTTCTACTTTTGTCGAAAGTTGACTAAAGTTTTGTCGCTCAAGTTGTCTTCACTGATACGGAAAATGGCGACGAATACACAAACCTGCCAGAGATAGCCAGGTGAGCGTGTACGCACATGACGTCACGCCCATTCTCAAATTCTGTCCTGAATCCCTCTTATTTATTTTACTGTACAGGATTATAGAGACAATCACAGTGATCAGAAAATGGCTCATTCAGCCCATCAGGCAAATGTTTAAGCATGTGTTAGAAAAGCGGGTATTTTTAACATGAAATGTTGCGCAATGCACCTTTAAATTGCAATAATTTTTCAGAATATTGAACCAGGTATATAGGTGGTATTCAACAATATTTATTGTAGAATCAATCAATCAATCAACCAAATTTATTTATTTTTTTTATTTTAGGGTCGGCTACAATGGTGGTCAACACACCAGAACTTACCTTATACTCTGAGGAAAGGATGGAAAACAGGAGAGAGGTTGAAAAAACAGAAAGGGAGAGACAAATTACAATAATTAAGCTTGTGAAGTTCAAATACATCTCGTCTATCATCTAAACAAGTTAAATACTCACTCACCTCTCATTCCACTCCAAGATGAGTCATGATCTATATCATCCTCACTAAGATCAGCCGCCTAGTAAGGAGAAATCCATGAGAACATTTGGCATTTTTGAAAACTGTATACAGTGCATGGCAATCCCACAACACAAATATCCCTCTTTTATTCAAAGAGCAGTTTTGACTACCAGCATATTAATACCCTAAAGGATCAACCGATTTCAAAGTCTGGTTTTAAGAAGGTTACGAAAATCTCATTGGAAACGTTTCGCCGTGCCTTGACCATTTATTTTTGCTATCAAATGAGAGTAACAATATCATGTTTGAACAGAGCGGCTGCTGAAACTGTGAAAGTTTTTCTTTCATTTCCTGAGGTTAAAGGTTAAAGTCTAGTGCAGACAGAGGCTTGAATCCTCAGGGCTGGAGCTTGTATTTGGTTAAATATTGATCTATGACCATCTCTCTGTTTCACATGCTCACATGAATGCTTGTGGAAAGTAAGAGGGAAATTTGACACTAAGTCAGACCAGATTAGATATGAGGAATAGGTAATGTTTCTGCTTTCAAGTAGTTTATTGTCCTGGGAGTTGGATACAAAGAAACAGTTGCAAAATACTGCCACCTAGTGAACAGGAGAAGCGTTCAAACCATTCCCAAACAAAGACACCGGCACTCTGCATACGAGATAACAGATCTGAATTAGATACTTAATAAATGCGTGTGCCTGGGTTTTCTGCGGTGGAAGCACATTTGCTCTTCATTACAGAGGATAATTCATTAAGGGAGCAAGGTTTCTAGTTCAAGATCAAAGTAGAACATGGAAAACAGCCAGAGGGTGGGAGCAAGACACACTTCTAACAGACATACTCTCTCAGCCTTATGGCTTCCTCAGCTAAATCTCTACACTAACTGATCTGTGACTGTGTGTCCTGATGTGTGCGATTACAACAACAGCCATCCGTGTCCCAGCAGCTGGGTTTGACAAATCAAACTAGGATCAAACAACATTCTTCACTGCTGAGAGAGCAAATGACAGCATTTGTGACCACAGCTCACATATATTCCCAAAAATCACGGACAGATGGAGTATCAAAAAGTTTGCGGGGTGCTACGTGCAGTTATCAGGTCTTGTAAGGTTTACCTTGTATATGCCGTTCCGCCCATATCCTGGCAGCGAAGCTGACTTGTTGTATGGAAAGTCTGTAAAACAGAGTTGGTTGAATGGTTTATATCGATTTATGGCACTTTCCTCTAGCATCATGTTCAAGGGGAGTTTGGCAGTTTAAGGAGGAAAAGATTATTATGACAGCTGTAAGAAATAAAGTCTTGCCTTTAAGTTAAAAAAGACAACTACACAAGTCTGTTTACTCTAGAAAGCACAAACACAGAGAAACAGCCTGAAAAAAAAACATTGATTATATTTATAGTATTTATACCATGGTCTGGGTGAATACTCGATTCTGATTGGCTGCAGGGTGTCCGTTAAAAAGTGATAGAGGACACCTAGTAAAGTAGTTCTGGTGAAACTGCCTGTTTACCATTCGAAATGAATAAATAAATCCGCTGCCCACAACAGCTGTGAGTAACCATAGCAACAGGCAGTCAAAGTATCCGTTAACAATTTGCTCTATCAAAACAAACATCTAACGTTATTCTGCTAAGAACCAATCATATGCCATAGACATAATATCTTGTGTTCTTATTGGCCATGTCACACGTCAGTAATACGATATAGCTCTGGAGAGTTCAGAGTTAGGTATCCAGCGAGATAAGAGTGAGCACTTTGCCTGTGTAATTTTGAGTTAATAAACCCTCATGATAAAACGAATTCAGCGTGCACCTCCTTCCATCGTAATATGAACAAAAGCTTTACAAGTTAGATATTACATAGCCTACTAATACAACAATGAGCGACTTCGTTTTTTCGTCAGTCTCTCACGGACTGACGGAGCCCAGTAAGCCCGCAGACTGCTCTCGCATCGATGTCACCGACATTATTTGACGGATCTCCAGTCCAGCATCGGAGAGTCGATCTACAGCAGTGGTTAGTGTAGACTAGTGTAACACATAGTGTTTTATGTGTAATAAAAAATAACTATGCCTAACGTTACCTTTGTGTTTCTTGAAAAAAAAAATTGCAGTTTGGACCTGAAGGGTTCTACAAGCTGAGCGGACTATATCTCAAGTTACTAAATAAATCGTCAGGCAAGTTATTATTTAAAAAAAACTAGATTTAGCCTAATTAAAATATAAACTGATGTTTTAAAAATGTTTTATTTGGCAAGTGACCATGGTATAAGCGGGTTAATGCCCTCCGAGGTGTCCATTGTCAGGTTTTAATGGACTTCGGCGGAGGCAACCGTCCTCCGCTGCGCGTCGGCCGGTTCACGCCTCGCCGTCGTCCATTAAAACCTGACAATGGACACCTCGTCGGGCATTAACCCTTACATAATCTATTATAGGTTTGATTATAGTACAACTGTTGTCAGATTCACTTAAATTACTGTGTTGACAAACAGTTTTGCATATTTTGTTCTCCATTTATGCATTTTCACTATTGCCTACATAGAAAATAGCTGGTTATGGATGTTTCTATGCTGGCCGCTGAGTGAATTGACATGACTGGAGTTTGGATTTCATGAAATCATTATTTGTCTACTCACTGGGTTGAGACATATCTGTGGGCAAGCTGTGGGTGGAGGTCCTGGGGTCAAGATCTGGAGACTGTCCATCAATCTCACTCTTCAGGTTCATCCAACTTGTTCTGGTCTATTGAGTCAGAAATACAGATTATATAACCAACCAAAATAATAAAATGAAAAATACACAATGAAAAACATTCAAGTTTGATTACATTACCAAAACATTATTTTTTATTAAAAATTATTTTATTTAAACTTAATTATTAAATCATTATATTTTAATAATATATTGTCTTGCGTTAAAGGAGAACATTTATTTCGATGTGTTGACCAACATACTAAAATGTACTTGGTTACCTAACATAACCTTGTTATGGTTCCCTCGTATCGCGTAAGTTTAGCTTCCACTACGGGTAAAGTCATCTTTTCTCGAGATATTGAAGCCAAAAATGATCCTTAAATTTGTATTCTTTGTCAACGCAGTGCAGACGCTAGCAGACCTAGAGCAGGCTGACTTGCGTGCTCATTGGCAGCTCTGCGGCAACTGCAGCAGCCAACCACTGGTGTGACGTCACGCCCAATGGTGGCGATTTGCGCCCACTACGCGTCACAGCCCGCTCAAGTGGGTGTGGCTTAGCGTATAAAAGCACGGCTCAGAGGCTGCTTCCCTGGTTTCATCATCTGAAGCGAAAAGCGTGCGTTCACGGCCGGTTACACAATACTCGTTCCCTCTCTAGAGAGAACCGACGTTACATTAGTAATCGAGTACATTCTCTTACGAGAGGTTCTCTCTAAGTTTAGCTTACGCTACTGGAACCCCTTGTCAAAGCCGTGTGCGCCAAGCATTCACTCTATGAGTCCCAGGGAATCCGGGAAACACTGAAAAGTGGGAATTCAGGCGGCCAGCAAGCGGGCCGACACATGTATATACATAAGCACCCATGGGAAATGCAGAGCGGCGCCGAACATACACATATTAGACTGAGAGAAATCTATTCTGCAAGGTGGGAATATCCATGTTATAGAATCTCACAAATATAGACGGGGAGGCCCAGCCTACTGCCATACAGATGTGGAAATTCCTCTGGACCATGCCCACTAGAGGCCATACCTCTATTGGAATGAGCCCTGATGCCCAGAGGGCAGTGCAGACCTTTTAACGCATAAGCAGCAACATAGCCAAGTCTTGATTTGAGGATGACCTTTGAGTCATTCGGGCCAAAATCAAAACAAGCGGCGCTAACGGATAGCGCGTGTAAGTCCCCCACACGTTTGACTGATGACAGAGCCAAAAGAAAAACGGTTTTGAGCGAGAGGTATTTTAGATTTGCAGAATCTAGTGGTTCAAAGGGATACATTTTTAGGGCCTCTAGGACCACGGAGGATTCACGGTGGGTTCATCCTTCTGGCTCCTCTCAGGAAGCGGATGACCAGCTCGTTCCAGACTGCGATTTTGTGTTCTTTATTCCTTCTTGCAGGACAACGGGTATCCGTTGATTAACCATACGTGCAGAGACCAGCGCCTGTGCGTGACAGCCGTGTTAGGTCCGGGAACCATGATTGGTTCTCCCATAGCGGGGCTATGAGGAGCACCAGGTGGCGCGATTCCCTGATTCTCTTGATTACCTGTGGTAACATTGAGATCGGAGGGAAAACGTACAGAGGGAGGCTGGGCCAGAATTGAGCCAGCGCGTCCTCATTCTTCGTGAAGAACACTGGGCAATGAGCGTTGTCCTCTGGCGCAAATAGGTCGACTTCCGCTCTGCCGAAAAGGTGCCATATCAATTGGACTGTTTGGGAGTGTAGAGACCACTCCCCGGGGGGAATATTGTGCCTGGACAGTCTGTCCGGGCCATCGATCCGACCCGTGCCTCGCCTATCAATGACATCAATCATACCCTCGATTTCTGATTAAATTTAGGCTTTTATTCACATTTAAAACATAGATCAGCTAACATTTGATGTACAAGAAGCTTCTTGAGGAAGCTCAAACGTGCTGCATAACACAAGAACAAACCTTATTGGTTCTCGCAAATCAAGCAAGAATTCTTGAACTTTAATTTATCATCACTTTACAGTGTGTGTCCGTTGATGAATGTTTATATGTAAATAAAAGCCTAATTTAAAACAGTTCAGCATTTAAAGCGATCATGTCTCTACAGAAAATTTGTACTAAACCGCTCGATTCATATGGATTCGTTCTACGATCTCTTCATTTGTGTTCCGAGGAGAAAACGAAAGCCTTACCTTTGAAAGTAAAAAAGATATTTTCATTTTTGTGTGAACTACCCCTTCAAAGCATATTATTTCCGTAATAAGTACTCTTTTTAAAGTATGCTAAGGTGTAATTCTTTTTCACAAGCGTCAGTTGGATTAAATTACTCTTAAAGTTCAGAATAGACAAAAACAAAGAGATGTTTATGTAAATATATACGTCACCTTTCTGTCTACGTCATCATCTTGCCAGGAGGTTCTGGAAGCTGCAGCAGAGTAAGAAAGTTTAAATATCTCGTAATTGACAGTTTCCACTGTTTGAGAGAGGGTGACTGACACAAGTTACATCATGCAAGTTACCGTAAACACATAATAAATAAAAAAAATCACATTTCATCTGATTTTTCAGTGTAGTTTGATTTTAGACAGGGTTTTAAAAAAATCTCACTATTGATTAGGTGAGTTTTTTTTTACGGACAAAATCAACAAGCAAGTGAAAACCAAACACAATGGTTTTCAACCAAACACAAAAAGTGTGACAACCAAACACAATGTCAATCAGGGTGAAGGGGGAAATTCAGAAACAAGGACAAAAGAAACGAGTCAAGTGATTAATAGCTTTACCACCCAATCACAATGAGCTTTACTGATGTCTTTGAACCAATCACAATGAGTTACACAAATGCCTTTGACATTTCACCAAACCATTGAGTTACACCGAGTTACACAGACACCAAACATTGTCTAGCATCTAAAGTACAATACAACACCACAGACAGATGGGAAACTATACTGCAACTGACATATGTATGGCTGGACAGAGGCCGGAAAATAAAAGAAAGATTATATCTGACTGCTGTTTCCATGTCAGGGTTAACCAATACCATAAAATTGCACACATAAAAATGTAGGATGTTGTCTATGAAAACATCATATCAAAGGCATTATTTACATAAAATGTAAAGTTTGGGGTCAGTAAAAAAAAAAATCTGATTTTTGAAGGATCATGTGACACTGAAGAATTGAGCAAAATACCACTTTGCCATCAAATGAATAAAATATACTTTAATATATATATATGTTTTAAAATATTACTGTTTCTACTGTATTTTTGATCTAATAAATGCAGCCTTGGTAAGCAATAGACTTCTTAAAAAAAAAACATAAAAGATCATACCAACCCCAAATCTTTTGAACAGTAGTATATACAGTATGTAACACCAAATACATACAAAACAACAATTATCTGCAAGTAACTTGGCATTAATCAGCAATAATAATTCTTCAGAGCTAAGTGCTATTCCAAATAAACACAATAAATATGCATGAAATATGACCCTTTGCATGTGGTCAAGATATGTACCTTGTCAAATCCAAACCTTTTTCTTGGATTTGTAAAACCTAAGGCCTAGTGTTTGGAGCTGAAATGGAAACCAGCAGACAGAAGGAGGGTCAAAGGTTACAGTTTCATGGCAAAAGGTACCATGGTGACATGCGTAACAGCATGCAAAGAAACATGATTGTACGGAGACTGGACTGTACCATGCTGTTTGTAGATAGGGGGCTTTCTATAGATATTATCTTTGACTTTAACCTCTGAGAATGGAAGACAAAGAGAGGAAGAGAGGAAGTAAGAGAATAAGAAAGAAGATGAATAAAGAAGCATGAGTTAATAGAGCATGGAGTCAGGGCAAAAGAAAAGGCAGCAAATGCAGTATATGATGCTGTAAAAGATTCTTGTAAATTCATTTCATTATCACAATGTGCAGAAATGTTCATGGTCGGCATGCAACGATCAAGCATTTTGCCTTAGACAAAATCCTCGGCTTTGAAAAATGGATTTGAATTATGGATTTTTTTCTGCATTATACACTATAAACATATAACAACTCATTTTCAACTAAGAAGACAGAAATGTCACCTAAAATGAGCTACGCCAAGAGGAAAAGGGGAGATAAATGGTGTAATTGCAATGACATAATGTCTTAATAATTGACACAGCATGTGTATCTCTACAGCTTGTTTAGCTCATCTCAACCCCACGTCTGTGTCTCAACCATTACTTCTAGAAAAAAATCCGTCATTTAATCTAACACATGTGGGACATTTTAAGAGCCGTTTCAGCCTCTGCCAGCATTGGAAACAAGACGTCATTAGAAAAAATGGGCAGAAAACACATGAAACTGATCATTAGGTTTATTTTAAACGTATCCAGGGACGAGCAATGACAGTGAGTTTCTTTTATGTACTAAAAATAGGGCTTTGCTTGCAATAATGAATTATAAATGTACAAAATTGACACTACCGGTATATGAAAATGAATTATTGAGTCTGACAGATTTTTCGATAAAAGAGGATTCAACATCTTACAGAAGACAGGGAGTGATGTGAGCTAAGGACTAAGCACCTACCTGGGACATGGAAATGCCGTGGAGCTGCAACATATGTAGAAGAAGGAGATTTGCCATCAGAATAGGTGGAGAGACTGGGGGTACTCCGCCCACTTTCACTACCTTGGGGGTGAAGGTCACGGCAGACACGAAAAAGAAAAGGAAAGAGAAGAATATTTAACAGGGTTTCCAGAATTGGGCTGCATTGAGTTTTAAATGTTCCGATAAACCTCACAATACAGCCAGCTTAAAAAAGACCAATTTGTCTTTGTATTGGAAATTGTGAAAGTCTGTTTATACTGACAGCATCTGTTCAGCAGAGACTCGAGCTTCATGACAACTCAACATGAATTGAACATAGACCGAAAAATAGACAAATATTGGCTGGCTGAATCGTGACGTCTTCATCATCTTTAGGGGAAAAGATTAGGTATTTATAATCATAGTCTACTACCAAACTGAGACTAAAAGAAAAGAGAGAGAATCTCTTATTCAACTATTCACTAAAATCTTTTATTTAAATCAATGTTAAGTCATTTGCATATTTTGAAAGCAAAAAATATATACACCGTATTTTTCACCGTCTCCTTTTTCTTTTAAATCTCTCTTTCACACACTTTCAACTGTCCTTCAGACACATGCACACACAATTAAACACACAAAGTGCTGTTAGTAAAAAAATAAATAAAAAATCACCCTGTATCAGGGGAAAATCATCCACACATCTGGAGCTGGGGGAGCAGGAAATTGTCATAAAACACACCAAACATTCACAAATCACAACACTGGAGCACATGTAGTATGAAGGTCTCGATGCTCCCCATTACTCATCAAAATTAGATTTTATTGCGATTGCGACGCCCTTCTTGTGTCAGCTGAGTGTAATGCAGCATGTATTTCATCACTAACAAATATTCTGTGAATGATTTCCATATTCATTTTAGAAACCCAACTCATTGGTGATATGACCAGATTGAGGCAGCTACTTTATGCAATGGTTTTGCATTTGTAAGGAAGAGCTGATTTTCCTCTTGTGTGGCTCCTTTACCAATAAAAAGTCAATTAGACAGCTAAGTAAATCATAAACAGCGCACTCCAAACACAACCTCAATGTACATTTATGCTGCATTAAAGGGTTGGCCCGGAACTGCACAAGGCCAAAGTTTATGCCACTGTGCCTGGCAAACCAACCCAAAATTACAGCTCATCAAATTATCCCTTTAATCTTCGCCTGTGAACTTTATTCCCGCTCTTTTTACTTCTTGCAGAGAAACCACAAAACCAAAATCTGTAGCCTGATATACAGTAAATATAAAGGATTTTCCTGTTTTCCATCATACTTTCCTCCTCAACACAGGCATCTTTTATTGATGAACAAATACTCTCCAATATATTTTAAATATACATAAAATGAATACACAGAATCTTTTAGGATTTAAAATTTAAAATTAAAAATAAGAAATAGTTAAGTTTCTGCATTATTTCAAGGTCAGCAATTGAATGAGCAAATTTGCTGCATGTTCTGATATTGATCTGTTTTGAAATTCTGAATTTATTCTGAATTGAAATTCGGTAATAATTCTATAGTATAATTTGTAATTAAATTAGTATAGAATTAAAAATCCAAAATACAAACATTTTAACTAGTTGTCTCAGACTTTTTGACTACACTATATATCCATCTGAAAATGACTGCCTGTCTGAGTATGCAGGTTAAGTTAAATAACATAATTTACAAATAACACTTGAAAATTCTGAAAAGAGAGAAATGACAACCACAAAGTAAACGGCAACACTAACACAAACATACAGAGAGTCACTTTGAATATCAAACGCATGGGGGAAAATTTCCCCTCACCAGTCAGACAAAACACAACATCAACAACACTACAAATAAATGCATAGTAATGGTCACCACCAACGTTCACATTTTATTTGTGCATAAAGTTACTGTTTCAGCTCAAATATAATGAATACCCACAGGTTTTCCATGCAAAATGATTGGACATACAAACTCTACACAATACCAGCAAGCAATTGGTCCGAAGACAGAACCTTGCGGTACACCTACAATCTCACATCACTGTAATACACTGGTGATACACAGTGAAAGAGAGGCTGATTTTTAGGGTTTACCGTGAGAAGGCAAAATGAGGTGAAGGGCTGTCCTAGGCCTACTTTCAGACTTTGCTTCCTGTTTGAATCCTGTATCAATTCCTGTTCGGGAAAGGTGGATGAAGGATAGGGTAGTAATTTCATGTCTACAATTTGCTTGTCCATTGTGAACGCAAACCCTTATGAAGCTCTAGTTCTTTAGTGTTGCAATCAAATTACAACAGCAAGAACTTCATTCACTTTGTGGCAGTCTTATTTACGTTTTTTAGAAAGCATTTTTTTAGTATTGCACTCGTTCATTCATTTCATCAAGGGGAAGTTAATCTTTTTCCAATAAAATTCAAGTGCACACGTAAGTTCACACAAGTGCAGTCAGTAAGCGGTTTGCTACAAAGGCCTGCCGGAATAGCTGTGGTACCTCTTAAGTAAGGGATGTAGTTGTGTTGTTGGAGCAAAGCCAGAGTGGTGGGGTTGAGGGACAGGGCCACACCACCGTTCCCTGCCTGTGGAGTGTTTCTACCACTGCTGTTGTACAAAGGCAGTGGGGAGGAGCCTCTGGCACTACCATGGGTGCTACTCCTCCCCGAGGTTGGTACAGACAACAAGTTGGAATTTTCTGGTTGGGTGGTGTATTTGACGCTCAGATATTGCTCTGAGCAAGAGACCCAGCCGGTCAGGGAAGAATGGCAGTAATATGAGAATAGTGAGTAATGAGAATAGAGAATAACTACACACACACCAAAAAAAAAAAAAAAAAAATTCATTACTTTGTTCTTGAAATTCTACATCAAATCAGTTTATTGTTGTTTAAAATGTGATTGTAGAATAGAATGCTTTAACTCTGTTCCAAAACTTGGTGCTTTTTATGATCACTTGTGACTTTAAAAGTAAAAAAAAATAAAATAAAATAAAATAAAAAAAGTAAAAAGCAAAAAAAAGTAAAATTTATGAGGCTGCATTTATTTGATCAAATATATAAATAAAAAACAGTAATATTATTAACTATTATTACAATTTAAAATTTTAGTTTTCTATTTTAATACATTTTGTGTATTTAATGTAATTCATTCCTGTGATGAGGTCTGATCCTGACATTTTCAGCAGCATTACTCCAGTCTTCAGTGGCACATGATAATGATTTGATTTGGTGCTTATTGTCAATGTTGAAAACAGTTGTGCTGCCAAATATTTTTGCCTTTTTTGAAGAAATGAAAGCAAAAAAACAAATGTATTTCCTGTCACTTTTGATCAATTTAATGTATCCTCATTGAATAAAAGTATTAATTTATTTTATTAATCTTTCTGACCCCAAACTTTAGACCTGCATTGTAAAAATATAAATACACATTTGGGTTTTTCACACTTGAAATAGTTAACACTGGATCATTATACACCCCAGGTAAACAGAATTTCACACTACTTAAAATTTAGCCAGGGTAAATCCTGGGTATTCATAAGCGGTCCTTTCATAATGTAAATTCCTGAATCCTGGGTTAACATCCTTATTTGTCATGTCAGTGATATCCACTGTTTACCTAAAGCCTTATATTACACATTGCCGACTTTTATCAAGATTTTTCTGACAATAAACATAAACTTCACTCCAATTGATACGTTTTTTGCCACCATTTGAGATTTTTAATATAAAACTCACTGTTTTTCTGTGATGGTCCAAAGAACGTGAATATAAGGCACACGATTGGTTATCGGTTCCTAATCATGTAATTCTAACAATGCATCGTTTCACACTGCACACTTCTGGCACCGCAATACAGGGTGAAAAGTGCTATAGTGTATAATAGATAAGCATACATTGGAGAAAAAAATAGGTGTTTTAATTAATAGTTAAATGATTGTGCTTTTGATTGTGGTTCAAGTAAGTATTCACCAAAGCCTACGATGCCTTAAAATGCTGCCTATGGAGACAACTCACTAGGTTTTGAAACAGCGTGTGATGGTGACTTAAAGTATATCCAAATCACTGAAAAGACTCAGATAGTTACAGTATAACTGTGCAGGTAAGAATGACTCTGTGTTCATGTAAGTATCAACATATGTGGAGGGTTACCTGGTCTGCTGTAGGTCTGAGGTGAGCGGGAAGGTGTATAGCGTCCATAACCCCCTAAAGAGCTGTTGGAGCTGGGGCTGGAGGGCCTCCTCTGGCGGGGAGACTTTTCCCCATCTCCCTAGAAACAAAGAGAGAGTATTATTTATGTAGTCTGAAAGTATCAGACAACCCAGCAAGCAATAGCCATCATTTCACCGTCTAGGTTAACTATAGACTCGAATTAGTCCGGCTATGAGTAACCCATTTCAAAGCCAAAATAACCTTGAATTTGGTTACATGCCGTTTTTGCCAAAATAACATGTGAGATTTATTATATTCCATCATTTAAGCACAGTCAACAGTGATTACAAGGTGTTTGATTTCATTTATTTTCTTTCTATTCTTGGACTATGGTTAGACGTCTATTACATTTTCACTGATAGCCCCAATTTTGCCTTGTTTTAGCCTAGACGTCAGGGCTGTGTTTGGATGGCTATTAGATGTCTTTTAAATGCAAAATAGCTTGCTGGGAATTAGCAAAGTTAAACAGTGACCACTATGGCACAGGGACACACAAGAGGAAACTTTAAAGCTGAAAATGAAACCAATCTACAATAATCAGTCCTTATAGTAACAGGCTGATCATCGAGTCATTACACCACATGAAAACGAACACACAATACTATTCATGTCACCAAACCACAACTACAACAACTATTCATAAAATATGAGGAAACACTAGGTTACTAATTTACTAATCATGCACATATATGCATAAAATATTTGTGCAAACATTTTCAATTAGAATTGAATGAATTAATGATTCATCAAGTAAAGTTCAGTACACGTTTTCTATTGTCTATGTATGCCAAATTGATATTTCTTATTACAATTATAACTAAGTGACCCTACAAAAACTTATTTTAGAGCAAGACTAATTATTAAACTGCCACAGATTCTGAATAAAAAATAAAAATCTAATTTAATCAAATTAAAAAAAAAAAGACAAAAATCAAAAACATTTTAAAAAAGGGTAAAAAAAAATATTTGGCAGAGCTTTTGTGTGAGATCCTTTTCTGTACATACAATTACACAATTTATATGCCATGATTAGCAAATAAGACCTACTAAAAACTACAACAGGGCCTGTTTCTTCATATCAACTCTACTGTACCTCTGTTGGAGTAGGGGTGAGTTGCTGTGGTGACTGTGAACAAAGAAAGCAAATGAGTAAGATGGACTGGAATGCAATGACAGCTATGTTAATGAAAAAAATAGCTTTTCTTCTTAACTGAGTCACTTTACATGACTGAAACTATTCTAATACTTCAATGAAGTAGCAAAACTACACTTTTTGGCCAAGAAATGCTGGAGTGATGCTGGATGATGAGTGAAGATGATTAGATTTAAAAACGGCACTGTTAGAACAATGGAGTACACATGCTGCAGCTGTTGTATGATGTAATTATGCAAGACTTTTTACTCAAGTGACCTGTGAAAAGCAAAAACTGTCACATCAGGGCTTCATTTGAGCCGGATCCTGTTCAGGAAAACGTAATATTTTGGATCTTTGTGTCCGGTATTTCTTTTTAAACGATCCGGCATTAACAAGCGCAGCATTACATAGTGACAGTGCTGTGTGCATGTTAGACAGAGTGAGACACACGGTTATGCAGATGTATTATGCAGACGGAGGTTATGTTTTATATTTTTGACCAATCAGCTGTCAATAATCATATCCTTTAAAATTCATATTTGATCACCAAAATTACATTACTAAAACTTGTTTTACTTGGAAAAAAAATCTTCATGCATTATAATAGCTTGAATGTAACTCTACACCCTGGCCTCATTTAGTATACACGGTTTATGAATATGCAAATTAGTCACGCCTCCCCTCACTAACATCAGCTCAGAGATCCACTCATTGACGATCACACTTTGACGTGATTGGTTACAAGGTAGTTTGTGACGTCAGAAACACAAGCGATTTCAAACTGTGATTTTGAGACGGTCTTTGGTTCACTGCAGTTTTAAGGAGAGAACACTGAGCAATGGTGCTGAGTTATGCTTCAAGACAAAACATGTGCAAAAGCTTGATATCCAACACAGAGGGACTTTAAGTCCAAAATCATTCTCATTGGTTGGTGCTTACTGCTTATTGTTTTGCGTGTAGTTTGGAGAGAGTGTTTATAAAAAATAAGTTAAAATCACTAAGTTATCAAAAAAGACAGTCAAGCTTCATTTTTCATATCCTTCAGTGAAGCTCATGGTGTTTCTGATCAAAAAAAGATAGAGAGAAGATGGAGCTGCACCCCTGTGCAGTTCTGCTTAATCTAATCAGGATAGCAGGAGACACGAGCAACGATATCATTCAGAAATCGATTTAATGAAGTGGCAACAGCGTCATCGGTGAGAAAAAGATGAATGATATTTGTTCTCAATGTAGCTACTGTATATGTGACAGGTTAACAAACCAGGCTATAGTTAGGGCCTGAAACTTGTGAATGATGCTCTTATTTAGTCGTGCTACTACCATGTAGTGACGGCATTGTATCTTCCGGGAATGTTGTATGGTCAGTGTCGGTCACAACGCTTTTTAATTGTTGTTTTGGATCCAGCAATTATTCATTAACAAATTTTGGCAGAGTTAGGTGTGTTTGTACCTCTCCAAAGGTCCTGTCCTCCACAGGGTAGCTCACATAGGGCGAGTAAGAAAGCATGTCAGGTCTGTCAATGTTGTAGATCGCTTTGATTTTAGGAAGAGCAGCCAAGTCCTTGTAGTCCAGAAGCTCATCACCCAATTTTGCCTTAAGAAAGAGAAACATTATAGCATTGTAACTCTTTCATTCCACCTTTTTCCTATGGCCCTTGATGCTTTGCGGAAATTATGGGAGTAAATTCCAACTTTAAACAATCAGTGAAAGGCCGTTCTATGAATGCAATAATAAGCTTCTTTAAAACAAATAAATAAAACTTGCTATAAAGTGATTACAACTCACTCTTCATAATTCAAAATGAACTCAGGATAACTCTCACATGTTTATTTGTATGCTTGTGTGTTGCTGCCCACTAGTGGCAAACTTGAACAAATGAAAAGTAATAAAGCATGGAATCATTTTCAGATGTACACTTACATAGATAACTCTGCTAGGGGAGCCGGAAGCACTGGAGGCAGGAGCAGAGGTGATGCTCTCAGAGGAGGTTCTCGTCACCTGGAAACAAAAATAAGGTGAGAATAAGAAATATAAACACAACGGCACTAAACCAGAAGAGGACAACAAACAAACAAAAAAAAAAACATGAAGTTCTAGTTTACTCTATTTAAGAAGTTAAAAAAACATGGTTAAGTTCTAGCATATTTTATTGACTCAATTGAAATCATACAAAGTAACAGTCCTGTTTAGTCTTAAGGTCGTAAATGATTATAGAGCAATTTCCATGTTGCTGTTACTGTTGTGTGGATCTAACAATTTATCAGTCTTCAGACAGTTTATGAAGGATTCAACAGAAATGTACTGTAGATATAAGGTTTTGCCTTTAAGAACAATGGTTTTTCTTTGCTTTGTCAGACACGGATACACAGTAAACTGCAATAAATAGTTTTTAATATGTATTTTGGATTTATTTTCAGGTTAAAGTATTTAATGCTAATGTAAAATAAAGTTGGAGAAGAAAACCTTATTTTTCTAATTCGAATGCAGTATACATTTAATGTTCCAGTATAAATGGCACAGTTACATTGTTAAGGGAAAATGGTCTGTCACTTCAATATCAACAAACATCAGGCAGTCTAAACTCTAGAGATTCTTCTAACAATAATATTAAAGATTTTCCATTTTATTAGTAATGCATTCAGGGTCAATTCACAGTATCTTCTCTATACCTACACACCGGTGCGTCTCAATCAGTTCCCTTCGAGTTCTTCCAAGCTCGTGAATCGGTATATCGTATACATGAATTTGAGCACTAGAAAGGACAGTAAGGACCCTGGCTCACTACACATTGGCACATGGATGACTCTATTGATGACTCCGGCGACATGACAACGTCCTCATTATTCAACATCACTACTGGTATAAACAACAGCAGAACTGATATCTTTTTTTTAAAAGTAATTTAAAGTACATTATGATCAATACTTTGATTGTTACAAATATGTCCAACATTTCAGCCGTATTATAAATGTTATCTAGATTATGTCCATTACCTGTTTGGCTATGTAAATTTAAGCTGACATATAATTAAATAATGGTTTGTGATTTAAAAAAAACATCTATTGCGTGTCAGATGTGTAGTGAGTTGGCTCACAAGATTTATGTTTCGAGCTTCAGAACTTCTTTTAAGGGAACATAGTGAGCATTCATGCTTCATGGTGCATTGTGGGATTTTTTTAGGGATCAAATGTTTTAGTGCATTGATATGCTCTGACTACTGAACTTGGGAGCCGATTGAGACACCCTCATTTAGAGTATTTGTTCAGATGTTAAAATCTGTTCTTTGGTTCCTGATTTCTACTGGGTGGGTGTGGCAGTAGCCTACAGTGGCGTGGCATTAGCCTACGGTGGCCTGGCAGGCCCATTTTGGACCTCATTGAGCATTCTATTAAAGCTGAAAGCAGGTCAGGAGATAAGCCCATGCAGGGGGAAATGGGCCGCATGTCACAAACCTGCACAGGTACATTGGAATGGAGATCACTGAGCTGAATCCGCACCTGTTTCTGCAGGGAAAGGGTTGTTACAGTGAAGCGCTTCCACATAGTGCATATAACCTTGGCTTAAGATATGTAACTCGATAGATTCCCTGGTAAATGATTTTGCATGGTATATTTCAGAGCATGTTGGCAGCCTAAACCAGAGCTAATTTTTATTTGTAATATTGCACACATTTTTAGGTGCAGTCACTGATTCTAGCTCCTATGAAAAAAAAATCATCCTAGGCTTTGATTTTTAATGACATAAAAATGGGTGGCACGCACTATTCACTGTGCACATGCACTATGTACTCAACCGTGTAGTGTATACCTTTATGTATACCTTTATTTGGTATTTCAACAGCGGAGTCTGAGGTTTTTACCGAACTTTAGATGATTCGATTGAACATGTCGAACATGAAAACATGTCGACAACACAAACCAAACTCTTCCATGGCCTCAGAGATAACTACAGTGTTTGAGGGGAGCTCAAAGTAGATGTTGCTGGCGGGCACCAAAACAAACCTATTTAGTTCATGCAGGAAGTAAAACTGTAATTAATGACAACTCATTTCAGACAGCTCGGATTTAGTTCTTTCTTTTGGGAGACAAACTCTATTTATCATGCACTTTGATCTTTGCATATTTTTTTTTACATTCATATTCAACTGTTTAATACACTTCATGAAATATAATATATATTAAAAAAAAAAACATAAAAGGGGCACTTTAAGGAATTTAGCAAATTCATTAACAGCATAACCATGCAAAATTAATACTGAGCACAATTTGCAACTTTCGTCTGAGAGCGGTGTGGAGGATGAAATCCTTCAAACTTTACTACAGTATAGAGTATCCCTCCACCAGCATGAATCGGCTCTTAAAAAAGCCAAAAGTGTGTTTGACAATAACATGCATCTGGATGTTTGCAGATTACAACAGATTACAACATTTTCTCCATTTGTTGATGAATAACAACTACCATGATATATATATTTTTTTTTTACATTTTTCTTAATAAGCCTAATTTACATAGAGAGAATGACTGTTTCAGAGCATCTAACTCCTCCTGGTCAAATTGAATTGCAGTTACCTTACTCTTCTCCTCCATACGTGCAGCCTGTCTGCAAGGTGGATGCCAGATGGAAGAACCTGTGAAAGAGAAAGCAAAAAATAACTAAAAAGTAACTAAACGTAAAAATGCAGTGGCCCTACAGGATTTGACACTTAAGTCACTTCCCTGACCCATTTTTGCAAATACTTTTAACAAACTGGTGTCTTTATTAGTGGATTGACTTTTTGTTATATAGCACAAATAGTTCAAAAGTTAGTATGAAATGAATAATTTTATTCAGGATGCATTATATCAATCAAAAGTGACAGAAAGTGACGTTACTATTTCCAATAAATGCTGTTCTTCTGAACTTTCTATTCATCAAATAATTAAAAAAAAACATCACCGCTTCCATAAAAAATATTAAGTATTGTTTTAACTGTTTTTAACATTGATAGGTTTCTTATGAATCAAATATTAGAATGATATAACAATAATATGATATTAGAATTATTTTTGAAGGATCATGAGACACTGAAGACTGGCGTAATGATGCTGAATTTTCAGCTTTGCCCTCACATGAAAAAAGTACATTTTAAAATATATAAAAATCTAAAAGTTATTTTAAATTGTTTTACTGTATTTTAGTCAAATAAATGCCGCCTTGTTGGGCATAAGAGACTTCTTTCAAAATTATCTAAAAAAAATTACGGACTCCAAAACCTTTGAAAATTAGTGTCCTGTAGAATTTGAAATGTGGTTTAAATATTTTTGGGCCCACAGTTCTTAAAGCTGCCGTCGGCAACTTTTTTTTATCATATTCAGTAAATTCGACACTGTATTTCGACAAAACAACATAAATAAAGTGGTTTTAGATAAAAACCCGAGCTTCTAACTCCACCTGGAGCAAAAAACCATCGCTCCCGGTTCATTGTGTCCAATCAGCGCGGGGGAGGGGGGGGGGGGGGGGGGAGATATGACTCGGTTCCAATTCCTCGGTTAACCTCAAGAGCGCGGAGGTCAAAAACCACACAGGAAAAAAAGAGAACTCCTCGTGAAAAAAATTAACTACAGAAAGAAATCAACTGTGCCCGTAATAAAACCAGGATAAACATCGGATCGGTATTTAAATGATGGAGAGATTTACGTGATTTATTTTGGGTTCAAGCTGTATGCAGAGCTTGCAACATTTCTCGACAGGTAATTGTGCTTTATCAACCAGTTCCTTTATTTCTTAGTATTATGTTAGCAACCCTTAGTAATAGTAATACTTCGTAATCTAAGTATGTTTGCCCAAATGTGTTGGTATGGATAGCTAACGTTATCACTTTGTGGGCAGGTTCGTTAGCTTTGTTTGCACTGAAATCCCTGTGAATGTAACGTTAGGTTGATAAACAGGCTTTTTGGAAGAATCAATGCTACTCTTTCTTTCATACCAGAGTAAGAACAGTAGTAAAGCTACTGTTATTGTACAGTATGTGCTATCTGACTACCTCAGTACAATGTACAATCAGCCAGAGTTGCTGACGGCAGCTTTGATTCAATTTATTATCTCACATAACTTACTACCTGAGGTGTTAGCATGCTCATATAAACCCCTACATAAACTGGCATTCATGAAGTAGCACAATCATTCACCCCTAGAATGAGTCAGCAGTCTTTCGTTTTATTTCAGCCAGATTGAAAAATACTTCAAACTGATTCTGCTATGAAAGCAGAGTCTTGTCCACATCTGACTATAAATCTCCTTTGACAACAAACTACATTGCAGTGAGTTTCTTTGCGTAATCACTGTGCAGAGTGAGACTGAATTTTTGCAACGTTTGAGGTGAGACACAAGAGAAAAAATAAAACCACATATATCTTATGATGTCAAATGTTTATTTTCTTCTTTATAATTTAAATTAGATGTGACTGGTGAGAGTTTTTTTAGCTTTATATGACTGTCTAATGCTTTATTATTCAAATACAAAACAAACTCTATCCATGTTTTTGTCAGTACAGATACTGTTTTTCTTAAGCTTGAAACTCCAAGTACACTAATACATATATCAAAATGATTCAAAAATCCTCATCAGACCCCAGCTGTATCTGCACTCTCTGTCTGTCTGGTTTCATGGTCTAAAATTAGAAAACTTTGCAGAGAAAAATTTGTATTGCAGCATTCTGACACAAATCATCAACTGAAATCTCCATCCCATAGGCTCCAGCCATCCGATTCATTATTTGTGATCCAAATTGACTAGAGTCCAGGCATCCATCTATCTATCTATCTATCTATCTATCTATCTATCTATCTATCTATCTATCTATCTATCTATCTATCTATCTATCTATCTATCTATCTATCTATCTATCTATCTATCTATCTATCTATATATATATATATATATATATATATATTGACAACTTTGATCATTTGTTTCATTCAAGCACTTCACACTTCATGTTTTGATTACTACATCTAAAAATAGTTTTATTGTATTGTAGGATTTGTGTGAATAAAATTTCTGTATCACAATCAAACCTTTTCATCATGTAGATTTGATGAGATTTAAGTTACCTTGCAGGTACATCTCCTCGCCCTCCCCAAACATCTGCTCACAGCGTGCACATCTGGCACATGTGGGATGGTAGTGCTTTTCTCCAGCCTGCAAAAGATAAACAGAGTACACATCAGTCATTCAACTCCAGAGCAGGAAATTATTAATTAACCCTTAAAAGCATTCATCGGGTCTTCAGTGACTATTACAATTTAAAAGGATACTCCAATTTGACAATTTAAAGGGATACTCCACTGTTTTTTGTTTTGTTTTGTTTTTCATATTAAACTAGGTTATTCCCTTAACTAAGACGAGTTGATGCATACCTCTCTCGAAATTGCTCTGTCTTACGGCAAAACTTTGATCGCACTTAGCTTAGCCCAGTTCATTCATTAGGATCCAAGCAGAGAAGCGACCAAACACCTCCACATTTTCCCTAATTAAATACAGTTACACGAGTAGTTACTCGGCGCAGTAATATCATCACTCATTTACACAGTAATATGTACATATATTTTTTCTGCACAACAATAATTTAATCTTTGATGACTGAATAAGTGCAATTCATCTTTATTCCACAAGGTGGAAATGTCTGATGCACAATGATGAAGTGATGTTACCATCACAGGCAGAAAAAGAAAAGAATAGGAAGAATCATTAGTAAAACTCGAAATGGCGCAGTGATTTACTGCAGCGCAAGAACTGAATGCAATCAAATGTTAGTGTCACTGTCACTTGATGAAGGATCTAGTGAAGAATATGTCAGCGATCAAAATATTGATTTTGAGGATGTTGAAAATAGTTTTGAGAATATGTTTAAGATTGCAAATATGAACCAGATGTTGAATGTACTGGGAAATGAGCTCTGACAAGGACAGTGATGGTGATGGTATAAAACCTCTGCTCAAACTGAACCCTTCCAAGCTCCAAAAGGTAACAAAATATGCTTTATTTTATTCTTCTGTAATTGTTTATTTAATATTAGGAGAGATTTATATTATTGCACCAGGCAGATAGATCCGGGTCACTAAAGACCTGAATATGTAATAATGATTTTTAGCAAAATATTTGTGCATTCAAGGGTTAGTTTATCCATAACCCTCAAAGTAATATGTATTTATTATTTATGTATTTAATCACATGGAGAGAATATTAACACTAAATTTGACAGAATCATTCTGACAATATAATTACTGTAATTGATTTATTCCACAAGTTATCTAATAAAGTTCAAATGCTAATAGCTGAGAAAAAGACCTGTTTGCACTATGTGTTTGAACAGTGGAGGGAACACAGAAAGAGGAGCTGGCGGTGCAAAGCTGCCACACTTCATTTTTTATGGACACGTTAATTTAATTTTAAAACGTTGACAAGACCACTATACACAAAAAGGCTTTTCCCAGGCTCTGCCTTTAACAGGCTTACTGTTCTATACAAAAAAAGCTCATTCTTATTTCTGTAACACCAAAAACATGTATTGCATGACATTTCAAAGTATATTTGTTTAGTGCAAATATAGACCATTTCACAAGATGTAAACAACACTGGTCCAGAAGCACTTCCTGTTTCAGTTTTTTAACACTACATAAAAGCTGGGATAAAATACAACCAACAGAACATTTAAAACTAAATCAAAAAGTTAAACAAACATCTTTAAGATGTTTTCTTTACATGTGAAATAAAGAAAACAGTTACAAACTGAAACAGGAAGTGCTTCTGGACCAGTGTTGTTTACATCTTGTGAAATGGTCTATACATACCTAGTATTTTAATTTGTACTGGTTTTATCATTGCTTTTTTTTCATAAAAAATGGCAAATTGAAAAGAAAAGAATCTTTAGAAAAACATTCATTTTCTAAATGTAAAATATAATATTTTATTTCCTTATTTCCCTAAGGTGAAATAAGGTGAACCCAGACTGAAAGACAAACAGACAGATAATATGCCATAAATCAACTGTATGGTCTCATATTTCAATATCAACAACCACACAAATAACAAGATAAAGTCGTGTCCTTATATTTTCTCTAGATTTCTATGAATTAATATGATAATTAGTCATTATGGTGTTTCAAAGAGCTCTGTCAGGCTGTAGTTTTGTCATTTTCCTTTAAATATTTGGTTTAAATCTTTTCCAGGTTAGTTTTAGTTATGAGGTAAATAGTACTTGACTGTTTAAAGTACAGTTTTGTAAAATTGATCTCATCTGTAATATTTCTTATCTGCTGTATTCTCATCTATCAGAAATGTTCAGCGCGCTGCTTTTAGTGTTCAACACAGATGTTGATTTCATTTTACGTGCATCATAACCTGCACTGGATAATCTACTCAGCCCCCTCCACCTCAAAGGCCATCCTCTTTAAACACAGCTTCAGTCCTGCCACTGGAAATGTCATGACATTTCAAGTTCAGATACGATTCTCAATCTGTGCTAAAGACTAAATTGGGCCTCTTTCTGTTTCCATCAGAGAAGTTATACAAATGGAACAAACTGTTTAAAAATCCCCTCAAATAGACAATACAAACCTTTACCTTTGACTACCTCAATACCTTGATGGTGTATAAGCTTGTAAACTGGCAATACTCCTGAAAGGTGGGCTAATTAATCTTGCTAACATAAGGATACCTGTATCAGCTAGTCTTCAGTTCATGTAAGAAAATTTGCCGAAGGCAAACGAGTGTGCCAAGATACCATTTTGCATGACTTCATTTATTTCGCATCACCTTAAAGCACTTGGCACATCAGTTGTGTAGTTAAAAATACCATCCTAAACTATGATGTCACACTATCTAATTCTGGGTTACAGTGGAAGTGCCAATGGGACAGAGTCACTATAGACCATTTCACAAGATGTAAACAACACTGGTCCAGAAGCACTTCCTGTTTCAGTTTTTTAACACTACATAAAAGCTGGGATAAAATACAACCAACAGAACATTTAAAACTAAATCAAAAAGTTAAACAAACATCTTTAAGATGTTTTCTTTACATGTGAATTAAAGAAAACTGAAACAGGAAGTGCTTCTGGACCAGTGTTGTTTACATCTTGTGAAATGGTCTATAGCAACAGTGTGCAACTTCTGACAAATATCTAACAAACACATAAACACAGATTTAGAGCTTTGAGGAACACAAACCTGCAGAACTTTAGTTAAGTGACAAATATGATAATGCACACATAATTTGTTGATTTAAAAGCAATATTTAGCCATTCCCAATGGGAAACTAAACAGATGAAAAGAACAACTACGTCAATATGGGGCTTGTTAGGGTGTAACAAAATAGCTGTTTAAAGAAAAACGAGGAAGAGTTTGCATGTAAGAACAAAAGAGAGTGAACAAAACAGAAAAAGTGAAAGGGAGATGCAATATGAGGAGATAGATTGTTCAATACTATAATTAGGCTTTAGAGTGGTTGTGAAATGACTGTCTGAGATTCTCTTAGTAAGCACCCACTCAGCTTCTGCCCTTTCCAACATGACCACTGGTATTATAGCGTACTAGCTCTCAGATGAGAATAAAAGCCTTTCACACACTCAAAGAGAAGATATGATAGAAGCAAACAAATCTCAAGGCAACAATGCTAAAATCAACATGAAACAGCATTTGGAATCCATTTTACTTGGTAATGTGACATATTTCTGAGAAACAGAATCCTTCATTAGAAAATTGTATCACAGGACTTGATCCTATTTACTGGGAATTGATTGGAACATGAAAAGTGGCCAAAATCACACACTACATACTTTTGAGGCTTGAAAGGGATACTCCACTATTTTTTCATATCAAACTATGTTAAACGGTGGAGTATCCCTTTAAGTCCATATCGATTAGGTTTGATATCATCTCTATTACATATGATAGTGAACTCCTAAAAGTTGACAAAATCCATTTAAGAAATTCAGCATTCTGAAATTTCCAGAAGAGCCTTTTCTGGGAAAATAGACCAAAAATATTGATGACTCATCCTGTGCTAGGCAGATTTTAGTCCAATCAAATGTTCTCTAGAATTATAGAGCGCCTTCCCTTATGATATAACTAAAGCCTATTGGCTAATTAAAAAAAATAGGATGAACCCTTCAATATATCCCACCCAAAACAGAGTTGTTATTGTTAACAAAACTATTAAAAATGATTTTCATTCATTTAAATAAATTTATATATATATATATATATATATTAGATGAAAACCGTAATCTTAAAAAGGTATAATTAACTGAAATAAATCTGGAATATAGTACTAAAATATAGAACTAATAAAGTACTGAAAAACTGAAAAACTATGCTAAATAGAAATATTTTGAAACTAATAAAAATGCTCGTAACATTACTAAAACTTACAATTAAACTGAAAACATCCAAAAAAAAAATTTAAATTATTTAAAAAAAAATAATTCAAAAAATGAATAAATACTACAATATTACATGACAATTTCCATTTTAATAAGAACGTTTCAATCTTCCACAATTTTCTGGTCTTTAAAGATGAAAATGAGTTCCATTTTGATTTCATGTTGAGTTTAAACAATGTTAATACTATAATTATCCCATCAATTCATCTACTTCCATTCATTAAGGAATCCATTCATTAAACAATCACTGCCAAATAGAAAAGATATTCTTCAAACCTCAAGTACTTTTCCAGTGATGTATTTCTTGCAGGTTTCACACTGGATGCCGAACATGGCGTGGTAGTCTACCTCACAATATGGGATCCCGTCCCTAAAAAAACACACATTACAGTAGATGTAATTCGCTTGAACTTGAAGATGGTGACAAGTCTCTGTTTGCTCTCTGGCCTTGAGAAATCCCACACTGTTCTTTCATTTTAGAGTACGTCAATAACGTTGAGTCATTCCAGTGGGTTCAGCGGGCCTAAATATCACATTACTACGATTGATGAAACACACACAAGCACCCATCTACACATTCGCACACACATGGACAGGAATAGTGGGACTAACTTGCTGATATATTCGGCATTAAGCACTTTATTGCACACTTTGCACTTGAAGCAGCCGAGGTGCCAGTGCTTGTCCAACGCCACCAGAGACTGCTCATTTTTAAACTCCTTTCCACAGCCGCAACAATCTGCAGAGAGAGCGAGACAAAAGTGTAGTGTAGTGATAATGAAACATCAGAGAGGGCTGTCATTGCAGACATTTAGGAAATGAATGGGTAAGAGTGTGCATGTTACATATAATGGAAATAATTAGCAATGCAAAAACACAGAGAACTTACTGTACACAGCCTGTGGGGGTGCCGTGCTGTTGACTGGCACAGGCTGAGTGCATTTCTCACAAATGCACTCCTTCCCATTAAACGTCACGCGGTCCCCAGCTGGAAACGGCTGCCTGCCAGAAATACACACACAGAGAGTCACCTCATCATTTACCAAGGTTATAAAGCCACTTATATGAGGATGAATTTGAAACTAGTTTTTCGAAAACCATTTTAAGTTTGGTTCAGATGTAGGGGCACTACAATTTAAATGTGAAAAACGCAAAACAGGGTGAAAAAACAAAACATTTCAGCATATTAGAAGCAAAAATTGTGAGAAATTGTCATTCATTTAAAGACCAAAAAATAAATAAAAAAGACCATATCTATTTACTCAAGAAGTTTTGTTTTGTTTTCCATTCAACAAAAAGCAATAGGGACAGACGTTGTCAAGCTCTACAAGTTACAAAAAGAAAACGCATAAAGGAAAGTAAAAAGACACGTGTACATTTCAAGTCCGCTAAACCTGAACCAGTCACTGTTTTAATAAAAAAAACTTCCACTTCTCAGTAGAAATAACAGGCCTACTGTAACTTATTTGTACATTTTCATATTCAAACTTCCACATCACAGCCAGTTATTACACGCATGACAAACATTATGGTGTCAGGCCTGTATCAACAAGTCTCTGCATGAAATAAAAGATTTAATTTTTGGAGATTGACAGCACAATCAGTTTGATTGTACACTTTTAAACAACTATAATTGAATAATTTAAAATAAACATAACTATAATATTGAATAAATACAGTATAAACTATTCAAATACATTGTGTAGCTAAAACTTTACTGAAGTAAGAAAGAATATTAAAACCAGACAGGTCAATTGAACAGATTATTTTTAATGAATTGCTACTGTAGCATTAGCATATGTTTGCAAGAAAACTAGCAAAGATTCCCCACAAGCTTAATAGTAATATTCTAAGCATTATTATTAACAGTGTATAAAAATAAACATCTTAAAATATTCAACCCAGAATCGTATTTGAGTTTCACAAGCTTTATGTTTGTGCTACAATGAACTGGGCAGGAATAAGACCTCTTGGTTGAGTGAAGCGGGCCTTCATAAGAGAGGCTTGATGGCACAGGTTCAATCATATCTGGGTGATAGTTCAGTTTGAAAGCTGATGATATCACGGTATGTTGATCATCATCTCTCTAACTCTCATCACCCAATGGAATAGTGAATGTTTGAATCCAATTAACACACCATTGCCTGAATTTAAACCTGATGTGCTAGCCAATGTTATGCCAAACTCTTAGTGATGAATGTTGATTGGCTGTTTTTCTTGGTAAAACAATGAATACTCTGTTCCTGTGGTTGTTGGCTCAATTTACTTTGTAAAAAAAAAAAGAAAGCTACTTTGCAGACCTCTGTTCACACCTACTAGCTTGCCATTAACGTTATAATAATAGCATTAACAATCATTTCTAACTGGCAAACATAGAAACACTATGTGCTGGAATAGGCAGTGTATAAAGTCATCCAGCGTAACTACAAATAAGATATTTACAAGGTGATTTAAGAGCTGGTCGCACCCAAGGTATCAATTGGGAACGAAGTGTCCACAGAAACATGGGCATCGCTATGGAAATGTAGGAGGGACCCTTCCTGAGCAACATGTCACATGCACATACACAACATCCATTCAGAGACTGAGGGACACCCTACACCACTCTGGAAATAAGTGGCCTGGGAGCGGAGCATACACTTCATACTCTTACTGAATGCTGATGGGTACCCTTTCCTTCCCATCCCTCAGAAACAAGACTGCCCACTTATAAACTTAACTCATACACACGATCAGTGGCAGAACATTAAGAAATGATATAGTTATAATATAGTTAAGCAATATCGAGTGCTGTTTTGTTCCCGATTAGCACAAGTGCAAATGTGATCCTGATTTTATACAACAGTTCAATAAGCTAATATTGTGTTATATTTTAGACACATATTGACTCTTTTTGCTCAATTTTGCCAAAGAAATAGGCGAACCAATGATTCAATGGCCCTTTCATAAAGAGAGACATTAACTTCATTCTAGAATGATTCAGCTGTTTGCAATAAATTAAATGAATGAATGAATGAATGAATGAATGGATAAATGGATGAATGAATGAATGAAACACTCACTGGCTGCAAGATTATATATACACATACATACAGGAGTTGGACAATGAAACTGAAACACTGGCCAATGTTGGAGGTTTCACATCTATATGCCTGGCGGCCAATCTTCAGAGTGAAGCACGGGTGGATCAGTAATGGTTTGAGCTCCAATATCATGACAATCCTGATTGTATTTGATGGACATGACACTGCCGAGGACTACCAAACCCTTCTGGAGGATCATGAGCACCTGATGCTCAAACCGCTCAAACCGCATGATCATGCACCAACACACACAGCAAGACTTGTGACAGAAGGGTTTGATGAAGATGAAAGTGACGTTGAACATCTCCCATGGTCTGACAGTCACCAGATCTAAATATTATTGAGGTGTTTTGGAGGAGCGAGTCCACCAGCATCATATAGTGACCTGGACACTGTTCTGGAAGAGGAACGGCTCATAATCCCTCTGATCACTGTGAAGGACTTCTATCTGTCAATTGGTGCTGTATTTGGATGCAAAATGAGGCCCTTACCATTCTAACAAATTATTAGCCGCGTTTCCACTGCCGGGCCAGGGCCGGGCCGTGCTAGTGCGTGCCAGGGCCAGTCGCGTTTCCACTGTCACTTCCGGGGCTTGATCGGGGCTTCCTCAGGGCCAACGGCCAGGATTTCTGGCCCGTCGAATACCTTGGGCCAGAGGGGGCCAGCTCGGGCTAGAGGCGTGCTCAAGGTAAAAGGCGGAGTTTATCGGTGTTATGGAACATTATGATCTGAAGCAAGATGCACATAGGGGTGTCCATGTTTAACCGATTAACCGTTTAAAATTGCATAACATTTTAATTTGAACTGTAGGCCTATGCCAAATGCTGCGCAACAATATATAGGCTATATATACGCTACATATCGACGAATTTTCAGATATTTGTTTGATTTTTTGCCCCTTAAACATTTAAAATATTTGACTAATTAATATGAAAAAATATATATATTTTACTGGTTTTCTGAGGCCAAATTAGAACCTGGAAATGATATTTTCCCTGCAGTGCTGAATGAGAAGAGCCGTAACACCAGCCTACAGAAAGGGGATTTATAGGTGATTTATAGACTATAATAAATGTGTCTGATAATAAAATAATATAAAATAACGAGGAATTAATTGTTTATTAATAAACTATTGTTTTCTAAATGATTTTCGGCTAAAAACATATCTCCATCTCCGGATGCACATTTAGAGAGAAATTAATTAGCTACATAATTACAGAAGATATTGGCTTTCGATTCGAATTTGTTCGTTTTAAATTGGACATTTAAAGCTTCAAGACTTCAAGATCTACAAGACTAAAGCTTTAAATGTCCAATTTAAAACGAACAAATTCGAATGCGGTGGCTGTTTCAGGTCTCGCGCTTCAGTTCACGGAGATCATGAGCGCCTTGATTAATTGTTAAAGCACAACGTTTTCTTGTTATTGTGAGTTTACGCAAATAAATGTATTTGCGAATAATGTATTATTATTTTCTGTATGACCAGAAATGAAAGAGTATTTTAAGTTGTTTCCACTGAAAGAAATGCAGTGAAACTGCAAGTGTTCACATGGGCGTCTCGCAGCCATCAGCACGCGTGCTCCACACACGTCAAAAATATTGTGTTTATTTGTGTTCTGTTCCTTTTTTGGATAAAGGCGTCTTCTACATATGCAGCCTAATAAAATGTTACAATAATAATGATGATGGTTATTATTATTATTATTATTATTATTTACAGACACTGAGTTTTTGTGAAATGGACGTTTTGCTTATTTTCAATTCAGTTTGAAGGGTGATGGAAATGCGGCTTTAACTGCTCCGTACTTGCTGCGTTTTATTTCTATAAATTAATTTCGTTTCAAATGGGGTCCAATCAGTTATTAAAGGTGTTAAAAAATTAACTCTGTATCTCGAGGTTGCGGCGCGCACATACGGCAGGTGAGTTAATATACATGCTATCTTCCTAATTTAAAAAATAAATTAATTCATAATACCCGCTGAAATGGGTTGGGTTTTATGACGTTTGACACAGAAAGGCGTGTTAGGGGTGGGGTCTGGGGCAGCCCTGTGGGGCTACTGGCCCGGCAGTGGAAACGCAAGCCTGGTGCTTGAGGCCCGAGGCCACTAGCTCGGCTCGGCTCGCTGTTAGCTCTGGCGCAGCCCTAGCCCGGCAGTGGAAACGCGGCTACTGTGTTGTAAGACCAGGTGTTTCAGTTTCATTGTCCAACCCCTGTACATACATTTGATATTGAATAAGCTTCGTGAAAAACATTTTTAAGTCTGGTTACTGATGCCTTGCCCAAATTGTTTTTTGCAAATGTGATTTTTACCCCCATCTAGCGGTGAAAAGGTATATGACCATCCAGTGAATATTAGTTTCTGTTCCTCTCAATTCCGATTTCGTTTTAACTCCTACGGTGGCCAATGTAGTCCAAGATTAACATGGCTTCCAGTTCGACCTCGTCCATGAGTGTTAACTCAAACGTAAACACGAAAGGCGAAGCTTGAATTAATGGGTATGTCCCTCTTTGTCTAATATACTTTCAAGATGGAGGGACAACATGGCGACCGACATTAGAACCCCTTACCCGTATGTATTTTCAATGGCATATTATACACTAACGAGAATACTTTATTACTTGAATGATATACATTAATGTGCACATATATTTTTGAAAGAACTAAGTGTTTTTTTAGCTAAGAATAAACTAAAAGAGTTACACAGTGTAGCTTTAAATGTACCAATAGTGAATGTATGCTAGTGTTTGCTAGTGAACGCATGCGAGTCTTACTTGCAGACGGCACAGACAAAACAGCGTGGATGGTATGTCTTGCCCAGGGCGGACACAACTTCCCCTTCAATGAACTCTTCACAACTGAAGCAGCGGGTGCCATAGAGTCGCTGATAATCCAGAGTGCAGATATACTCGCCTTGTCGCACAAAAAACCCTCCTTGAGCCAAGTCACATCCACAAACTGCAGAAAGAGAGAGAGACAATACAGTTACAGTTGTTACAGTTAAGATACAGAGGGCCAAATGTCAAAACAAATGAATATGTGAAAAACCTGAACCCTGTTGGTGTACATGGAAAAAATTTAACCATTAAATACGGTAATTATCTAAAAAAATATTTAGGATTATTGAACAGACTGAATTTCATCTGGTCAGTTATTTTTAATATTTATCTTTTTAAATAGAGAATAGTATTTAATAACATATGGTAATGAAAATAGGATTAAGAATCATTATATTTCACTGATGTTATATCAACTACTGAAATTGTAGCATTATGCCAACACTAGTTGTCAGTAAAAATCCATAATGACAACCCAAATCACACATTTGTGTGTGTCTATTTGTTTATGTGAGTGAAGTAAGTGTTGTGTGTCTAATCAGTATCAGCACATGATGACATCATCAAGTCGCATGGAGATGGGAGACAGGGCAGGTGCATTAGTGCACAGGACAAAACAAAATGAAACACAACCTCCCCCTAATGTGAACCTCTCCCTCATTGACTCTCTCCATCTCTCCCGCATTCTCTTTCCTTTTCTCACAGCCCTTTTCCACTAAAACAGGAACACATCAGGAACACAATACACACAGACACGCTCCGATGACATCATTCTCAGGGCCGATCCATTTTCCACCTCCTCTGAGGTGAATGATAACTGTGGAATTTCCTTCTCTCCCATGGCTTTACTTTCTGTTTGTCCAGAGCAGAGATGTTTCATTGTGAATAATTAAAAGAAATGTACCACTTTCTTCAGTCTTTATATTTGACTGCTATCGTAATTTTAATGGTAAAAGACTGTAAAAATGCTAATTGGTTAATTGCAGCGGAAAGCTGAAAAAGTAACACATTTACGGGAACATGTAACACTTGATTTTTTAATTTTTTTATTTATTTGAATTATTTTGTTTCCTATTTTTCTATCAGTCACGTACATTAGGGTCATATGTTACGTCTTACAGTATATTAAATTAACATCTATTGTATCATTATAATAGAGTACAAATTCAAAATCAAATCTGGACTATGTATATTTCCATATTCTTAATGTTTGTCAGCAATTGCCTCATATTTGTCTGTGTATTTTTAAGGAATAACAGGGCAAACAATGAGACCATACTGAAACATAAAAAAGTTAAATATGAAAAGAGCAATTTCTGCAGCTACATTTCCAGTAATATATAATATGCATCCTATTCTCTCTGAGCATCTAACAGTTATCGGCTTGCATCTGTAAGATCCCATTTTATATGACCTCACTTGGTGATTATATAAGAGCTTAACAGTATCCCATCCCTCTTGTTCTCTTTTACACACACACAAATGTGTACACATATGTACTAATTTGTGTGTTAGCACAACACAATGCATGCTAATGTTCCGCTCGTAGTAAAATCCAAACAATAACATAGGAATGTTGGTCAGGAAATAGCAGGCATGTTTTCCGCATCTGCTCAGGAGTGATTGGTTGGTATCCGTGATATGGAAGGTTAGCTAGGTTATAAGCATATCGGGTGTGACAATGTGTGAATTCTGTTCCAAACATTTAAAACTTCCTCCTAAAAGCACAAACGGTCTCAAAGATAACCTGTAAGGCAATATGGCAGCACACATCCAGGGCAAGACTGAAAACAACATTGAACTTCTTATTGAAGCCATGGCTGCTTTATTTAAATGATTTTGTTGTATAATAGACACGCAAAAAAACGATTATTGATTCAAATATCCTAGTAAGTTTCATAAGATACTTCAAACATCAAACCAGATTTTTGCAGGAAAATTTGAAATTTTTGTTGCCAGAGACCCCCAAATATGGTGAATATTTTCTTTGTATTGAGTTTGAGAAATTAACATGTATAATTAAAAAATGGTTTGACTACTAGTTGTGATTGATCCCATTTTCAGACAGCAGAATTAAAAGGTAATAAAATCCAATTTAATGAAATGTGTTTAATTATTGCATTAAACATTTAATTAACATCTTAATACTATAACTTTGACATCTTTAAAATACATTTAGTATATAATCTTTGTTTTGTTTTTTCTTTCTGTGAACTCCCAAGCAATTCCAGGGGGTCCATTCATTGACCCCAGTTCAAAAACCTCTGCTCTAAGCACACTTTAGCCAATAAACTACTGAAGCATGTAACCCAAACGGTGCAGTGATAAGAAGTTCTCAACATTAGGCAGGGTATGTCTTTCACCCGACCAATATATTTAGCTCAGCTGCAGTCAGAAAACAACACCTGAATGAGAGGAGCAAAGGAATGTCTGCAAGCACCACTGCTCTCATGATCAAACACATGCCACAGTCCTTGCTGATCTGAAAGTGTGCAAGTTATACTGCTAGTTATAGCAGCAAAGAACAATTCCTGGAACATCCCTCCCTGAGCTTAAGTGCTCCAGATGGACACCCCATCAGCACTTTGGGAATAAACACTTTGGGTGCTTAATCTGTCTGTTGTATGATGACTGAAACACTGGACAATTATAGATACATACTGGAACTATGATTTGGCTTACAAAAAAGCAGATAAATTAGACAATATTAAATAAAAATGAAATAAAAAAAATATAACAGCTGAGGAGGTTATACAAGCAGCACTAAAAAAGGGGATGGGTTGGGCTAGAAGAAATGGAACATGGAAAAATGATGGTGGAAGAAGATAAGCAGAGAATAGGGAAGGAGGGTCCAGTAAACAAGAGTAATGGGTGAGTGAACCTGGAAACTTCAGTATATTGGTGTTGGACTTGAAATCAAATCCCTGGATGGAAATTCTCAACATCTGACTCTCTGAAATCTAAACTTTGCAATGCAAGAAGAGCAAGTAAACAAGATAATAAAACGGGTTACACTGAGGGCAAAAGATTTCCTACCTGAGATGAGACACTGAAAACCTATAGACACAACAATCTGGGAAGCAATCGTGAAAGAGTTAAAGCTATCGGTGGAACTGCAAGTTTATATCTCTTTCCTCAAGGCCAATGAATTGCGAAAGCAAACACCAGTGACATGTAATTGGCAGGACTCACATCAACAGAGGGAAGCGTTTTATTCCTGAAGGGTAATATTATCCCTCTACACATCGTCTAAGCTAATAGTGTTCCAACTGAATTCTCTGGCAATCTAAAATGGCGCTGGTTCGCATGCTTTCAGGGAGCTGGATGTCTGGAGAGGGTTTGCTGTTCCTCTACATGAGGGGGGTTGCAGTTTCACAGCCTAAAATCAGACTTTCAACTGGCTACTGATGTCACACCTGGTTTTAATATTGTTTGTGTACTCTGTAGGTATTCCATAAGTTCATATATGCCACTTTTCTGCCATCGGGCCAAACCGTTCTCAAACCGTTGCTTTACCGTTTCACTATTATTAACTTGTGTTGCTTTGCTCGAAGGCAACACACAAGTGACCATCTATGAGTGTTTGTAATCGTGCCATGCCGAGCAAAGCTGAAGTGGAAATATAACTGGAACCATTCTGAGGACCGATCGGCCCAACGCTGGAAAAGTGGTATGACAGCAGCTTCAAAAAATATGAATTTTGTAAAACTCCTCAACATCTCATCATGGAGCCAGAATTTTAACTTTCAGCTTTATCTAGCCAAAAACCACCCACTTACAGACAGGAAGAGACCATCTGAGCAAAAAGTCAAACAACCAATCACAGTTTGTTCACAATAAATTAATACTGATGAATGAATAAATAAATAAAAACATGAATTAAAGACATCACAAACAACCTGTATCAAATCTGTTTGTGGACATGTTAAAAAAAATAAATGCCTCAAACAAAAACCCTTACGAAGGGTACCAAAAAAAAAACACTTTAGCACACCTTTAAAAACTACTTATGGAAATAACATAGTTTAAAAGAATATTCTTGATTGCAAACTGAATATAATGTTTTCAGACAACTGTATGTTATAGTAAACTTATAATTAAATGAAAGTGTATTACATGCAATTACTGAACTTAGGAGTGCTTCTTTGACCCAATTAAGTAGGACTTCAATACATCTTTATATGAAATGTCATGTGTAAAAAAGAAAAAAAGAAATTTGGTAACTCTTTATTTTAATGTGTCCCTGTTACATTGTAATAATACATTTAAGTACCGAGTAATATAAATTAACTACATGTCCTTATAGGGTTAAGGTAGGATTAGGGTTTGGTTTAGATTTAGTTGCATGTAATTATGCCTACAGTCATTACTACAGTAAATGCATGTAACGTGTAAAAAGGACACATTAAAATAAAGTGTTACCAAAATATTACTGTCATTTTATTGAAACTTGTAGATCATGATATAAATTTGCAATTATTACACATAACGATGTATTGACACAGTATTACAATATTGCATCCAATAGATGATGCAGAAAACAACACTGTTAGTGTTAGGCATCAACACCTTTGACAATGAACAGTTCATCAATTTTGTCATCCATTCATTTTGGCGAGCATCACAAGCTCTAGCTGTGGCATTCACCTTGAGAGTCCTGAGCGTTCACTGCACTACAGTACAGAGTGTTCTGTTCTAACTGCTGCTGAGTGTCTCTAATTACCCGTAATCACACACTAATTTGATCGATAACTAACACATGAGTGCAAATTAGTCTGCACCAGTATAATGCAGGAAACATGAACATGTAACTACCTGACTAATACCTGAGAATAGAATATGAAAGAAAACATCTCTGAACAAGCACACAGACAAATCCAAACCACTGTCCATGAAAGGCCTGGGCTACAAGCCAAACAGAACTAGTGTACTGAATAAATACTTGCACAACAGCAAAAAACAACAACAAAAAAAAAAAAACATAAAGATGGTCCAGTTGACCACTCTTCCAACAGAGCAAAATGAAATGTGTTTAATCATTTTCTTTTTTATGACAATTAAATATCAAGGAATTACATCAATTGAATTCAATTGTAAATTAAGCGTTTTATGTCGAATAGA